TTTCAAAACAAACAAAGCAAACAGACCATATTGCTTAAATTCAACTGAAATCAATAGTTGAGTTTTATGAATTTTCTTTAATATTAATTCTTATATTCAATGTCTGATAACATGTTGTCATAAAAATAATCAAAGATGCCTATATAATAAGAAAGATGCATATACAACAAAGGTAGAAATATTTTAAAGTATGCCTTCCTGGCCATTCACAGCTATTTGTAATTTTTCTCCATCACCATTTATAAAATTTTTTGGCATAATTTGTTCTACAAACTGTTTTTTGAAAAATTAAGTTATTTTAGACCCCCCCATTCTATTTTTTAATTAAAAAAATTTTTTAGTGGCTCTAGGATTTGAATTCAGGGCCCCACGCTTGCTAGATAGGCTAGTCTGCCAGCCTTAGATCCCCAAATTCTTTTTTTTTTTTGAGGCACTGGGGTTTGAACTCAGGGCCTCATGCTTGCTAGGCAGGCACTCTTACTGCTTGAGCTATGCCTCTGGTCCCCATGCTCCCCACCTGTTTTTTTTTTAAATTGAATCTCATCTCTTCCTTTGGCTGTTGGTCTCAAACTGGCAATACTACTACCTCCACCTCCCTAGTATCTGGGATGACAGGCATGCACTACCATGCCCAGCTTATTTTAAAGATTTTTTTTTAGTGGTACTAGAGTTTGAATTCAGGGCCTTGGGCTGAGCCAAGTTCCCCAGCCCAAGTTTAAAGATCTTAATTGATTACATTATTGATTCTAGAAATTCCATAAAATAGAATTAAGTATTTTACAAGATGAGCAGAGTAGAAAAGTTTGGCTTTATACACAGAGAAAGGCTGAAGAAAGCAAAAACAAATTACAAAAAGTAGATTGTTCATTTCAAAATTATTTTCCTTGTAAGACGGGGGCAAAGAATCAGATTAAAACAAAAATAACTGATTAGTTACTATCAGATTATCTCAGGCTATTCTTTCTAAAGGGTTAAAACAGAAGAAACCTCGATATTGTTCTGATTGATGTGTTTGGGGAATTTGGCTATCATTTTCTTGATTTCTCATAGTGTCAGACAACAACTTAGTTTTGGTTTAGTGACATGGAACTTTAACATGGGTGATTTCCATTTTGATTTTTAGTTTGGACTGTTGGGACACAGTAAAGAAGTTTGATCCAAAACAATGGCTCCTGTAATTTTTATCTAATAAAGTTCTCACCATGTGTTTAGGTTTATTTTTAAAGAATATTTTCCTAAAGTGAAAATAAATTAAAAAAGGAAAACAAGACTGGAGGTGTGAATCAAGTGGTTGAGTGCCTGCTTTGTGAGCTCCTGCTTGGCAAGTGTGGACTCATGAGTTCAAGTCCTAGTCTCACCAAGGGAAAAGAAAAAGGAATATTAAGATGAACAAATATGCCTTTTATTTGCTGGGCACTGGAAGCTCACACCTGTAACCCCAGGCACTCAGGAGGCAAAGATCAGGCAGATCGTGGTTGGAAGCCAGCCTGGGCAAATAGTTTGAGACCCCCGTCTTGAAAAAACCCATCACAAAAAAAGGACTGGTGCAGTGGCTTAAGGTGTAGGCCCTGAGTTCAAACCTCAGGGCCACAAAAGAAAGAAAGATAAACAAACACCCAAACAAACAACATAACAAACAACATAACAAACATTAGAGAAACAAAGAGTATTTTCCTAGCTGGGCATCTGTGGCTCAGGTTTGAAATCCTAGCTACTCAGGAGGCAAAAATCAGGAGTTTCAAAGCCATCCCAGGCAAACAGTTTGTGCCAGTTTTATAGGTGTGCACTACCATGCCTGGTTACTAGGGACTTTTTTTCTTTTTGGCAGTTCTGGATTTGAAATCAGGGCCTCATACTTGCTAGGCAGGCACTCTATCACTTGAGCCACTCTCCCAGCCCTTTTCTGTGTTGGGTATTTTCCACAGAGGGTCTCATGAACTATTTGCCCTCAATCCTCCTGATCACTACCTCTTGAATAGCTAGGATTGCAGGTGTGAGCCACCGGCGCCAGGTGAATTAGAGTACTTTTTAATACAGAAAACTTGGAAAGCATGGAAAATCACAAAGAAAAATAATTCATGTGCCACTGCCCTAAGGAGATCTTGTGCGTGCTAGGAAAACACTACTGGTGAGCTACAACCCAGCCCAAAAAAGTCTTACAGTACATTTTCAGGTGTATATTTTCTGTACCTAGTCAATTCCATATGTAGTATTTAATAGTTTGTTTTCTGTAATGGCTGTAGATTATTTTATGCCATAGTGTTTTAAAAATAGAGAGCTCCTTTTTTTTTTTTTTTTTTGGCAGCACTGGGGCTTGAACGCAGAGCTTCTGCACTTGGAAAGCAGACACCCTACTGCTTGAGCCACAACCCTAGTCTTGCTCTTTCGCTTTTAATAATAAGCTTTTTGGTGGGGGGTGGGATGGATTTAAACTGAGGGCTTAGCTTCTTGCAAAGCAGGTATGACCACTTGGGTCACACTTCCAGTTCATTTTTGCTCTGGTTATTTTGGAGATACGGGCTTGCAAATATTTGCCTGGCTGGCCTCAAACTGTGATCCTCCGAATCTCAATCTCCAGTAGCTAGGATTACAGGAATAAGCCAACTCACCCAGCCAGCATTTCTTCAAAATGATAAAAATTTAACATTTGTGAGCTGGAGATGTTGCTCAAGTGGTAGATCACTTGCCTAGCATGCTCAAGGCCCTGGGTTCAATCTCCAGCAATGCCAAAAAAATGTCATGTGCCATTATGAATATTACAAGGGGGCTGCACAGTCATTGATGTGAAGGGTTTAACTCCTACTTTTGTCACTTAGAATTTGTGCGATCTTAGATTACTGGTTTCTATTAAAGGTCAGTTACTTAATGGAAATCACGAAGTCTACCCAATACTAGCAGTAAAACATTGGTTAGGGATCCAAACTCAAATGTTTCAGTATACAAGGCCTGAAGAGGACCAATCCTTATTTTTCAGAACTTAAGTCATGCAGAATACTGTGGCTTAAGTTCAAATAGAATTTCTGAGGCCCTACCTCAAATCTTTCACATTGACAAACAAAAAAACCAAACAGTACACTAAAGGCCACAACAAAGAAAAGGGAAAGAGACAGAGTGAGAGAACAGAAGAGCAAAAAAGGAGAGCAGGAGAGAGGGAGAGTGGAAGAAAGGGAGGAGGAGGAGAGAGAGAGAAAGAGGCATCCCTAAAGCAAACTAGGATCCTCATACACTGTTGGTGAGAATGCAAATTATGTGGCCACCTTGAAAAAGTCTGGCAGTTCCTTGAAAGGTTAAACATGGAGTTACCATATAAGTCAGCTTTCCAGTTCCAGGTTTATATCCAAGACAAAAGAAAACACGCATCTGTCGATACAAAAACCTGTACAGGAATCTTGCAAGCAGTGTTATTTCTAAGTCAAAATGTAGAAATGGGTAGGGAGCTGGGGGTTAGATAAGTGGTAGAGCACATGCTTAGGCGGCAGGAGGCCCTGGGTTCAATGCTCAGCACAAAAAAAAAAAAAAAAATACCCCAACCACAATAAGATGATGTGGAACGCTCATAAAATGGTAACGCTCTATTTGACAAAAAGGAACCAGTAGTGACTCGTGCTATAATATGGATGAACCTTGAAAATAACATGCTAAGTGAAAGAAAGTAGTAACAGAACTTATTTGTTGTACGACTCCATTCATATGATGTATCTAGAGTGGGCAAATATACAGAGAACAGATTAGGGTCTGGGGACGTGGGGGTGAAACTGGGAGTGAATACAAACAGGTACGGATTTCTTTGCGGAGTGATGAAAATGTTCGAAAATTGTGGTGATGGCTGTACGACTCTAAATATACCAAAAACTATTTAATTGTGCACTTTAAAATCGGTACATTGAATGTAAAGAACACTTACTTAAAAAAAAGCAAAGCAGAAGCTGAGCATGGTGGTCACATACCCGGCATCCCAGCACGAGGGAGGCTGCAGACCCCGTATTGGAAGCCAGCATAAGCTACATTGGTAGATCCTATCTCAAAAAATCCTGTTTTCCTGTGAAAATGGCAATACAAGTCTGTCAACAAACTGTACATAAAGGAGTCCTTCTAGTATTATTCTTCACCAGCCCTTTTTTTCGTGCTGGGTTTTTTTCAAGATGGGGTGGGGGAGGGGTGTCTCACGAGCTATTTGCCCAGGCTGGCTTCGAACTGGGATCCTCCTGATCGCTGCCTCCGGCTGATTACAGGTGTAAGCCACCTGCATCCAGCTGTGAAAAAGTTTTAAACTGCTTTAAAAAAAAAAAGACTGTCATGATACTTTCAGAGCCAGGATAAGTTCCGGTAAACTCTTAAACTCCTACAAGATGGTTCTGCTTTGATCTTATTTGTGAAATTCGGCACGTGCTACACAGCAGGGGGAAACTCCCACCCCCCATGAAGTTTCCTTGACTACTTCCAACGACGGACTTTAACCTAAACCTTGCTTCAGCCTGTGAAGCCCACTAAGTTGCAATGAAACTACTTCGCTGAAGCGGTAACAGGTGGGGAGCAGCCTCGGCCAAACTGTGTGAGGGGATGAGGAATGGTGGCACTCGAGTCACGAGGTCTGACTTAAAAAAAGAGGGGCGAAGAAAACTTGGCGCGTCTTTTCGGGTTCCCCTCTCCTCTCCAAGGCCCGCCAAGGTTGCTCCCCGCTAGGTGCGCAAGGCCACTCCAGGGCACGTTGAAGGGCAGGACGCGGCTGGGGCTTGGGGTGGGGTGGGGGGCAGAGCCCAGCAAGCGGCGGGCACCGCGGCGCAGGACGTAGGGCGGGTCACCTGCGGGCGGCCGATTGTGTCGGGAGGCCAGACGGGCGTCGGCGGCGGCGGGCGGAGCTCACGGCAAGTGATGTAAGGAACGGAGGGATCCCGCTGGGAGAGCGGGGCGGCACGCTGAGACCCCAGGGTGCGGGGCGGGGGATCCCAGTCCCCGCCCTATTTCCCCGCCCCTCCCCTGCCTCCTTCTCGCCCCTCCCCCCTCCTCCCCTCTGGTTGGAAAGTTTCTAGAATCTCTTCCCAGCGGCCTTTGCGGTTCCAACATGGCGGAGCTGACGGTGGAGGTTCGCGGCTCCAACGGGGCTTTCTACAAGGTATTGGCCCTTTGGCCGCATTGTTGGGTCAACTGGGGGCTGGAGCGGGTTTGGGGGAGTGTTGGTGGTCCATGAGGGCGAGGCTTGGGGTCAAAAGGGTGGTCAGGCCGGAGCCAGAGGTCGCAAGGTTCCTCGCTTTTCCCCCCTCCGCCCGCGGTTTAACGGTCTCGGGGGCCCTGGCTCCGTTATGTTTAGAAACAACACGTCGGACACCTCTTGCTTGTCCCCGTGTGTGACCCTTCCCCTTGGCTGCGAGTGGGGCCCTGGGCGGGCCGGTGAGGAGAGCCGGGTGGCTGCCGTGCGGGGAGCGTCCGGGAGCGGGCCTGCGCGCCCCGAGTCGGGGAGCCGGCGGGGCGGTGGGATTGTGTGTCACGCCGCTCCCCCGCCCCTCGGCGGCCGGCGGGAGCGCGGGCGGCCGGCAGACCCTCCCCTCCCAGCCCACCCCAGCCCAGCCCCGGGGCCGCGCGGCGCGGAATCCGAGGAATTCACCTTTGTATTGTTAGGCGTTGGGGCCCACGAGCCCTCGGTGTCTGGAGCCAGAGGGGGTGCCTGGTCGAGGGTGGGGTGGGGAGAGAAAAGTGGAAAACCGTGAAATCTGGCGGGTCGAGATACTTCTGCGGCCTGGGCATTTGGGCGGCGCCTGAGCACCTCTTAAGAGAGAATGGGCGAGAGTTCTAAAGTAAAATTGAAAACCGTGAAAATAAATCGAGGGAGACAGGTGGGGAGGTGACTTGTTTCTTTATATCAGTTACCCCGTAAGTTTTTTGTTGTTGTTTTTCCACGAGGTTCTTTTTGTTCCTTTCCTTTGGGAAGAAGATCCATTACTGTGGAGTCGGGGCTGGAAAACGGAAGAGAGATTCTAGAGTTGAGGAATTTGTTAGGGGCTGCCAGAGTGTGTGGGGGGGCGGGGCGGGGGCACATACTGAAAACGAAGCTCTAACAGTTTATTTTTGCCACGATAATGGTCTTTTCTCCCAGCTTTCTCTCCTTCCCACTGTATGCCACGATGTTACAAGATCGATACAAAACCTCTCCAGCTGTTGTCTGTCAGTCAATCTAACTAAGCCAGCATCTCAAATGTTTGAGAGTCTTGGCTATTTTTATGAAGGGCTTTTTTCTTACACACTGGTATTGTGTGTACGCAGAATGAGTTCTACCACGTTTTCATTTCAGCATATCCTCTATCCCTTTTATCTGATGGTCACAATTTCCTATTTTCAGCCTTTTGTTTTTACTTTTTGATTAGCCCTGTGGATTTGCTTTAAGTGTCACGTGGGAAATCACAGTTTTCAGAGTAGGGAGGATCCCTAAGCCTTTTACAACTTTATATTAGTTGGGCAACGTAAACTAGAAGCAGTGCCCATTGGAAAAGGAGTCTGTAGTATGACCTATTAATGTGTAACTGGTTGCATTAACATTCTAGGTTTAGTGTCATTATCGTGACCTGACTTAAGTGTCAGGTCAATGATTCAAGTGAAATTCGTGTAGATACTTCATTACTTTTCTTCCTGTTGGAACCTAGCGGTTGCCTTCCCTGAAAGTATGCAGATAAGTTTAGTTGGGCCACAGGAGTGGATTTACCTGTACTTTTCCTGTCTAGGATAGATAAGGTTCCTCTGTAGAAAGGTTTCAGTTCTATTTGGCTATGCAGTTTCTGTGTACCAGGTTTGCATTTTTTTCCCTTACATATTGAAAAAGCAGTTACTTTAATAAGTTTGCATTATGTAAATGGTAGACCATCACTTTTCTTTTTTGAGGGGCAGTACTGGGGTTTGAACTCTGGGCCTCACCCATGCTTGTCAGGCCTCCTCAATTTGCCTTTCTGTAAAGATTGTAAAGATTTGTTTACAGTCTTTGGTTTATCTTTTAGATTAATTCGTAATAAATTGAATGTCTCCATATTGGAACTCCGAAGTGATCCCTTTTCATACTCTGTAAATCTAGTTGGTTCTACTTAGTCTTGATTTCGTTATGCTTTTTACCTCACAAAGTGAAGTGGGAGTTTGGTAAAGGTTGGGAAGAACATTTAGCAACACTGGTGTGTACTGAAAATTTGTGTTTGAACATTTGAGGTTTTAACCTGCTATATAATCCACTTGTGAGTGCACTTTGTGGAAGCTAGTGTTCAGAAATTTGGAAGACTGAGAATGAAGTGGAAAGAGCCCAGATTTGAAGTAAACAAATGGGAATACTAGATACCTACTAAAGTTGCAGTGGACCCTTGAACATATCTCTGTAAGTCTATTTTCTTTTGTGTAAAATGAGAGATTTGAAGTAGTGCAGTTGTCTGATATTTTTTTATGCAGTGAAACTGTCCACTTGGAAGATATTGTCTAAACATACAAGCAATTATCTTTAGCTACTTGAAATTTATTTTATTTATTTACTTGATGGCATGGGATTTGAACTCTGCCTTATGCTTGCTAGCAAGTGCTCTTCCCACTTGAGTCACTCCACCAACCCCTTAGCTACTTAAATATTTAAATGAGGCTGATTTACGTGTAGTAAAACAAGTGTTTGGTTTTGTTTTTTTCTATGACACTTTTATGTTGTTAGCAGGTTTTGATAAATACTGACACTGTGTAACCCCCGACACTACCATGATGAAGGAATAGAATAGTTCCACCATCCTCCACAGTTCCCTCATGCTCCTTGTAGTTAATCTCATTTTATCCCTAGCATCTAGGGTATTTTTTTCCCTCATAGCTTTGTTTTACCCAGAATTTTATATACTGTATTTAAAATTACACTGTATGCCATGTATAGTGTTTTGAGTCTGGCTTCTTCATTTACCATAGGAGCAATTTTTTCTTTTTCTTTTTTTGGCGGTATAGAGTTTGAGCTCAGAGCCTCAAGATTGCTGGGCAGGTGTTCTACCATTTGAGCCACTCCACCAGCCCTTTTTTGTGTAGTGTTTTCATGATAGGGTCTCTTGAACTTTGTCCAGTCTGACTGCAAACCTCGATCCGTGTAGTAGCTAGGATTGCAGGTGTGAGTAACTGGTGCCCAGCTGCAATTTAGTTTTTTTCTAATTAGAAAACAATAAGAAAAATCTGGAAAAACTCAGTTATCCTGAAAGTCAAGAGCTGTTCACTTTTTTTTTTTGTTTTGCAGTATTGGGGTTTGAACTCATGGCTTGCACCTTGACCAGCCTTTTTTGTGATGGGTTTTTTGAGATAGTGTCTCATAAACTATTTGCCCGGGTCCTCCTGATTATCTGCCTCCTGAGTAGCTAGGATTTCAGGCATGAGCCACTGGAGCCTGCTATCTTTTTTTTTAAAATGGTTATTCAGTGTATGGGTGGTTTGAATTTATCTTCTTTTCACTCTCATTCCGTTCTTGTACACACACACATACACACTCACTCTTGATTGTAAGTGTAAATTCTCATGGCAGAGTTTCAAAGTTAGGTATCAGCTACAGCTTCCTCAGTGCTGGGATTACAGAAGTGTGCCACTATGCCCAAATAGAGATTCCTGCTGGAGGCATGTAGCTAGTATGATGCATGTATTGAGGCAGTGCTCTTTAGATAATTGATGAAATGAACTGAAACTTCATTTCACAAATTAATTAAACCAGTGAAGAGCTGAAGATTTTACCTAAAATTAGAATAGCCTTTAAAAAAAAAAACCCTATATATAGATAGCATGCTAAGCATTTTTCTGCATGCTGTCCTTCCTCTCCCCCTCCCCCCTCAGTGGATCTGTAGGTTGGAGAAATGTGTTTGCAGCCCTTTTAAATCTTTAGGGATAAGACTGGACACCAGTGCAGAGATTAGTAGGACTGTGGTTTCAGGCCATCCAGGCAAATAGTTCTTGAGACCTTATCTCGAAAATACCCAGCAAATAAAAGGGACTGGTGGTGGGTCAAGTGGTGGAGCACCTGTCCAGCAAGTGTGAGGCCTTGAGTTCAAACCCTGTTACAACCCCCCCCCCAATTCCCCCCCAAAATAGGAAAGGAAAGAATGGGAAGTTGTAAATTAAACACTTGCTATGACTGTATAATTTGATATAAAATACTGTTTTTATACCTTTCCTATCAGTATCTTGTTAGGTTGCTACTGGACATTTAAAGGGCCATTTTAAAAAGCTTTATTAAGGTAGAATATATATACTACATTTGATCTTAGCCAAAAGGCTGAAAAGAGATGAGAATGAATTATATAATTACATATTATAAAATTGAATGTTAGTGTATCTACAGTTTTATAATAATTGCTACAGTCTTATTTTAGAGTATTTCCTTACCCAAAGATCTGTGTCATTTTTTCATTATTAAAGAGCTGTTTTTGCTTGGGTGTTTTTGAGATAGGGTCTCCTTCTGTAGCCCTGGCTGTCCTCCAATTCATGTTGTCCAGGCTGGTCTTGAACTTGAGATCTTTCTGTCTGTGCCTCCCAAGATCTGAAATTACAGGCATGCACTACCATACTTGGCTTAAAAGTATTTTTTACTGATGAGTGTGAAGTTAAAACTTTCGTTGTTTTGAGGTGAGGTCTAATTATGTTGCCCATGTATGTCTGAAATCTTGGGCTCTTGTGATCTTCCTGCCTTAACTCCTGGGGTAGGTGGGACTTTAAATGACCATTGTCACCCACAGGTCTACAATATTAAACTTTGTAATATCATTGTATTATACAGTCTTGGGCAGAATATAATTCTTATTTTTGTTGGTGCTGGTGGTGAGCACAGCCTTTTTGTATGCTAAGCACATGCTCTACATCTGAGCTTAACTTCAGCCCTGAATATTACTTATTTTGGAGATTCTGAGGTTTGAACTCAGGGCCTCATAGTTGCTAGGCAAGCACTCTACCAATTGATGCACTCCACTAGCCCTGTTTTTGTGTTGGGATTTTTTAAGATACGGTCTGCCTGGGCTGGGTTCAAGCTAAGATCTTCCTGATCTTTGCCTCCTGAGTAGCTAACATTACCAGTGTGAGCCACCGCCTGGCTCCTTATTTCTTTAGCTCAGTTTAAGATTAAGTGAAATTTGGGAGAACAGT